AAATCTATTTGTATTTTACTTAATCTATCCCTTTGGTTATGCAAGCTTTAAGCATATCTCGTGGCCTAATAAACTGCCTTTTTAAATGATTTTTCGATTCTTGGTGATCAATCTGAGGTTTTAAGGTTTTGGTTTGGCTTCGTTTTCGCAACTTGGTCGGGGCGTCATGGAGACCTAGTCCTTTGTCCTCTGCCATGGTATTCGAGATTTCCCAAAGGTTACGCTGACATCGTCAGCACAGAGTGGCAACCTATCAAAGTGGCAAGATCTCCCTGACGCTCCGACCAAGTTGCGAAAACAAGGTCGAACCAACATTCTTTTGCCTCATGTTTGCCAATCGGTCCCAGGACAGGCTCCTCGTGCTATAGATATGGGTGTCAGAGGACAACAATACCATGGCGTAGGTGACGTACAGCTTTCTGATGAGGAATTAGTTCCAGGACGATAAAAATGTGGTTGTATCTCTGCTGAAAAGCCTGGCTTCAGTAGGACTTTAACCTTCAAACCAAATTCCTAATGAACAGGATGATTGTAATAGCTTGTCCCTGTCCAATTTCTGTGTGAGACGTGGATGAACTTGGCATGCAGTGCTTCTGGGAAGAGGGCTTGAACCAATCCTTGGGGTTTACTGCGGCCAGCGGTAGCAACTTATGCAGTGGGCGAAGATAATTGCCCGAAGCCCGGTCAAGCTCATGGTTGACCCGGCGAAAGGAGGCGTCGGCATTTTCAGCTGCCAGATCTCGTCCGGAAGGTTCTTGTTAAGCTTCCTAAGCCGGCCAAAAGAGCACAATCCAGGACTCTTCGAGTGGCCTTCCAACCTTGCAATGCGACATTTGGGAAGATGTGTCTTTCAGAAGTCTGTTGCGAAATCGGTGTCGTCGGCGAGGCCAGTGATCTTCCGCTGATAGCAGAAGCACCGGACATGAAGAGCTTCTGTCGGCAAGATGTTCACATGATAGTCTGCTTGTTGCCATGACTAGTTACCTGCCCTTACGAGCTGTTTATAAAGCTACATGCGTATTTAAGTCACAAATGTGTTTATGTTTTATTATATGCGTCTGATCTTTGTTCCGTCCTGTCTTACGCCCAGCCTGTTTATGCATTTTCTGTAAACAAAAATGTTGGCAGCGCTTGATCATCCATCCTAGCCGTATTAATGTCAGAATGGCTCTGAGCTGGATGAGATATTTATTGATTTGTCAGATCACTCAAATCCTCCAACTTGTTCTGCTGTCTCCATTCCAGTCAGTCTGCGTCAGCAAAGCCCCTGATTTCCTCCCTATCTATGTACATCCATATAGCTATGTGTGTATGTGTGCTGTCAAAGCTTATAATGGTGTTACAATGGCGAGGAAAAACGTCGGATGCGTATTATCATCATTTTAGCTTGTGCTCTTTCTGGTGGCCCTAATCATGCCGTTACCCACAAAGTTCTTGCACATCATTTGTATACACGCCAAAAGCTATGCGTATCTATATAATTGTAAATAAAAATTAAAAAAAACGCATATATATAAAAATTTAAATAAATAACTATATATATATGTTATAACTGTCTATTTATCTATCTATGTATATGATGGCAAGTAATTTTGGGGTTTATACATGTTTAGGTGCGAATGTTCGCCCATTCTAGACATGGAAGACACTAAAATGCGCATAAGAAAACAAGCGCGCACTTACGTAGGCGTACACTCATCATTCGTAATCTGCGGGAGATGACTCAACTGTCCCATCTCCTACTTGTAAGGTGGGCCTAAGAAAATAAAAGAACTTTGCTCCGAAAGCGTCAACCGGCGTTCGATAACAATGACCATATTCGAATCGATCTTCGCCCCGCATTCGCCATTGGTAGTGATGACTTCTTTCGTCTGATTGGTTTGCCGGTTTCATGACCCATATTGGTGAGTTCTCATCTACATTTTCCGCCCCTTACGTCTTGTCAATGTTGCATTGTAGCAGTGTAGTGCGGAGGTTTTCGGGTCGTTCTGTGGCGTCTCACCCTCGTCAGTGTGCCTTACTTTCCTCACTTATTCTGCTAGGCACGTGGGAGGATGAATGTGCTACTACCGGCTCCTCTTCAATTCGACGACATGATGTAAATTTCGCCTTAGTACGCTGGATTGAGTCAAACAATATGCTTTTCAAGAGTCCCCGCATGTTTGGTCTGTCAATATAAGTTGCTATGCTAACTGATAGCTCCCATTAATCTTGGAGACA